CCTTGGGATGGGCCAGGAGGTGGGTAAGAAAGCGCGGGTAAGAAAATAATATATAAAATATATAAAATAATTTATAAATATTAAAATTAATATGGTGTCCCTACTTCACAGATTTTCACTTATCGTGGGTGGTCCTGGAATGGAACCCCTGTGATAAATGAGGGAACACTGTAATTTCTCCAGTGGTGAAGGGCAGACAGTAAAGATTATGGGAAAGAGCAGCAGAGAAACCACTGGCAAATGTTCCAAGGGAACAGAGGAGTCAAGGGGCCACTGCTGTGCGTTCTGGACATGTCATTCTTAGGGTTTTGAAACCATCTATCAGAAATTTTGGGGGATTTTGTTGTCCGCTAATGGGAGGCTACCACAAGGTGGCACTTACCAAACTCTTTTCCATTGGAAGATAATAACCAAGTAAATGTTACATGAACCGTGAAACGGGGAACAATATCATATTCTATCTGTTTTCCAGCTCCAGTAATTTGGAAGACAATCTTTACTTCTGCACCCAATTAAAAAAAAGGAAATGATTCTTTAAAAAGTAGGGTGCATAATTTTACAAATCCCCCTTCTCTCTTGAGTGGTATGGGAGGCAAATCAAGACCACTACACACGTTGATACCCATTGACCCTAAAACAGGGCAATTGGGAGCTTGAGATCACGGTAAGACTACACTATGGAAGCTTGGGTTATTTTTTCATAAAGGAGGCACAAAACACCTTCAGAGGGCACAGTCATTCACAGTTCTTTCATTAAGACGACACAGTACCAGCTTCCTAGAGCTGAGAGATGAACTTTGGGCCGACAACTCACAGCAGTCATTTTTAATAATCTGTGCGCTGGAGTCCCAGTGAAGAGCAAAGGCTTCCAGCATGATGACTCATCTGTGAGAAGCAGCACAAAACAATGCTCTTTTTTCTGCAAACTTTTGTTTGCAATCTGCTTCATCTGGACTACTGCATTCAGTTCTAGACTCTCCATTTTAAGAGGTATATGGACAAGTTTGAGTGTGTTTACAGACTTCTGGCAAGGATAATGGGAGATATGTGGAATTAAACCAATGCAGAAAGGTTGAAGGACTTGGCATTGCTCAACTTGGTGAAGAGAAGACTGAGGCTGATATGAGTTCACTCTTTAAATACCTCAAGGCTGATCACAAAGATGATGAAGCTTGTTCTCTATTATCCAAAGGATAGATTGAGGTCTAATGATTGTAAGCTATAGGAAGGATAATTTGAATTGAACATTAGAAAAAAAGCTTCTTGACAGTAACAGTGGTTTGGCAATGGAGCCAACTGCCTAGAGAAGAGTTTCTCAAACTATGATCCTTCAGATATTTTGGACTTCAACTCCCACAATTCCTAACAGTCAGCAAGATGGTTGGGGTTTCTGGGAGCTGAAGTCCAAAACACCTGGAGGAGCACAGTTTGAGAAAGTTAAACAACTAACTTCTGGGGATGCTTTAGCTCAGTGTTTCTCAACCTTCCCAATGCCACAACCCCTTAATGCAGTTTCTCATGTTGTGGTGACCCCCAGTCATAAAATTATTCTTGTTGTTCCTTCATTTGCTACTGTTATGAATCGTAATGTAAATATCTGATATGCAGGATGTATTTTCATTCACTGGACCAAATTTGGCACAAATACCTGATAAACCCAAATCTGAATACTGGTGGGGTGGGGGAAGATGGATTTTATCATTTGGGAGTTGTAGTTGCTGGGATTTATAGTTCATCTACAATCAAAGAGTGTTCTGAACTCCACCAATGATTGAATTGAACCAAACTTGGTATGCAGAACTCCCATGACCAAAGAAAATATTGGAAGGTTTGGTGGACATTGACCTTGAGTTTTGGAATTGTAGTTCACTTACATCCAGAGAGCACTGTTGACTCAAACAATGATGGATCTAAACCAAACTCAGCATGAATACTCAACATGGCCAAATGTGAACACTGGTGGAGTTTAGGGAAAATAGACAATATTTGGGAGTTGTCATTGCTGGGATTTATTGTTCACCTATAATCAAAGAGCATTCCGAACCCCACCAACGATAGACTTGGGCCAAACTTCTCACACAGAACCCCCATGTCTTGAAGGGACTCACTGACGTGAGCCTCCATCCAGCCTCGCAGCTCTCCCTCACCTGCACATGCGCATCACACTGCATGCCCTCTCTCCCTTCCCTATCTGGAGTCTCAGAAACAGCCCTCCCCTTGGCTGAGAAGTTGGTGGAGAGGCTGGCCAATCACAGCGGAGGAAGGCTTTTGGTGAGAGAATTCGACGTCTGTTTCCAAAAAGGAAGAGGACAAGTGGAGAGATCTTCAGCCTTCTCTTTTTAAAGGAGTTCCTAAGACCACCAGAAATATATGTTTTCTGATGGTCTTTGGTGACCCCACTGAAACCCCCCTGGTGGTCCCGACCCCCAGGTTGAGAAATGCTGCTTTAGCTTGAAACTCTACCTTGAGGAGGAAGTTTAACTTAAGGGCCCATGGGATCCCTTCCGATTCCTTGTTTTCCCCATTCTATGCCTATGGCTTGGAAATCATTTCTTTCAATCCAAAATATTGTTAAAATTAATGTCTTGTGTTCTGATCACAGAGGATCTTGGCAAGCATCCAGGAAATCCTTTAATGTTGTCTTGAGCCTTCTGCTTCCTGATTCCCAGATCCCCATTTTGCAAGAATGCTCCCTTCCTCAGCACTTCTCCTCTCTTCCATCCCGAACTGCAACTCCAGGCAGATTCTCAGCAGTACAAGCCACCCACACGCAGCCCATTTCCTAATTATTGCCACCACCTCAGGTGAAACTCCTATCTAATGAAGTTTCTCCAGAAAGAGTAGGAAAAAAGAGTCAAAGAAGTATTGCAGTACAAATACATATTATGCCAGCCAACTCCAGAGATAATAAAGGATCTTTGTTAAAGAAGAACCAATAGCCTAGATTAGCCTCAAGCCTGTGCAAAAGAAGAACCATAAAGTCAGTTATTCTCAGCCTATGAGTCCACAGGTGTTTTGCCCACAACTCTCAGAAATCCAAGCCAGTTTACCAGTGTTAGGATTTCTCAGAGTTGAAGGCCAAAACATCTGGGGACTCACAGGTTGAGAACCACTGTATTAAGTTAAACTTCCTCCTCAATGCAGAGTCTCCAGCTAAAGCAGTGGTTCCCAATCTTTGGTCCTCTAGGTGTTTGGACTTCAGCTCCCACAATTCCTAACAGCTGGTAAGCTGGCTGGGATTTCTGGGAGTTGACATCCAAGACATCTGCAGGACCAAAGGTTGGAATCACTGAGCTAAAGCATTTCCAGCAGGTAGCTGTCCATCTTTCTCAAACTGCGCTCCTCAAGGTATTTTGGACTGGGTTGTTGTAGGTTTTTTCGGGCTATATGGCCATGTTCTAGAGGCATTCTCTCCTATTTTGGACTTCAGCTGCGATTGAGGGCATAAAGCCCAAATTCTTGTGTCTTTATTGCACAAGAAGCTGGAACTATAGCAAGAAGAAATAGATCTTTAGCCATGAAGATCTTGGAATGGCATGCCTTTACTGTTTTGGTTTGTTTGTTTTTGGCACTGATGTGATGGATTTAGAACACTGCAATATCTACGTTCTAAATCAATAAGCAATGAAATTCACAGTGTGATTTTTGCCACTTGCTCTTTCTCAGTCTGAGGCTGGATCTACACTGCCAGATTATCTGCTTTGAACTGGATTATTTGAGTCTGCACTGCCATATATTCCAGTTGAAAGTAGATCATCAGCATTCAGAAACTGGATTATACGGCAGTATAGATGGGCCCTGACCTGCCTAACATTGTCAGGATGATAGAAGTGAGGAAAAGAAGAGCTATGTATGTTGACTTGAACTCAGTAGAGGAAAATGTAACTAAATAGTTGATAAAATATAATAAAAGATATAGGTTTCCCCTGACATTAAGCCTTGTCGTGTCCTACTCTGGGGGCAGATGCTCATCTTCATTTCTAAGTCGAAGAGACAGCGTTGTCCATAAACACCTCCTAGGTCATGTGGCCAGCATGTCTACATGGAGTGCTGTTACATTCCCAGAGAAGCCGTACCTATTGATCTACTCACATTTGCATGTTTTCGAACTGCTAGGTTAGCAGAAGCGTGGGCTAACAGTGGGAGCTCACCCCAGATTCAAACAGCTGACCTTTTGATCAGCAAGGACTGCAGCTCTGCGGTTTAACCTGCTGCACCACCAGGGGCCCTTAAAATATAATCAACGAATAAATAAATACAGCTTTTATCACCATTGTCATCATTTTTGCTGTTTGTTTTGTTTTGTCCCAACACACAAACACCCAAAGTGTCTTTAGATAGCATTTCTGGCTGTTCAAAGTTAAGGGTCATAATGGGTTGTTGTTGTTTTTCGGGCTGTATGGCCATGTTCCAGAAGCATTCTCTCCTGATGTTTCGCCTGCATCTATGGCAAGCATCTTCAGAGTTTGTGACCTCATAACCTCTGAGGATGCCTGCCATAGATGCAGGCTAAATGACAGGAGAGAGTGCTTCTGGAACATGGCCATACAGCATGAAAAACTTACAACAACCCAGTGATTCCGGATATGAAAGCCTTCGACAACACAAGGGTCATAATATTTCTCTTTACTTTGGAAAACATTTGATCAATTTCATAATTTAGGGACTGTTCTAACATTTCTTGCTTGCTGAATTTGTTACTGCACTTCATACCTCACAAAACTGGGAAGGACCCCCTGCTATGAAGGAACAGACAGCTAAAGCACTCCCAAAAGATGGCCATTCAGTCTCTGTGTAAAGAAGGAGATTTTAAAAAGCTGTCCTCTGAGGAAGTCCATTACACTGCAAAACAGTAATTGTCATCAAGAAGGGGTTTTTTTCAGCGCAGAAATGCTTTTAATGCCTGTACAACATCAGACAGGTGACACAGAGGAAGAAAGGAGAGCAGAAGAGTAAAGTAACAGAAAAATCGAGCGTGAGACAAATAAAGTCCAACAGGCAGCAAGCAGGCCTCAAACAGCCTCTTTTTCAGCCTCTTCCTCAAACTTGCCCTACTCCTCGGCGGTGGCATCCTGGTACTGCTGGTACTTGGAGTTTTTTCTAACATGCAAACTCTTCCCTTATAATTTATAAAACTTTACCTTAGTTTCTTTTTAAAAGTATAGAGAAAGTATTATTGGGAGCATTGGGGAAAGCAGCCTAAGAAGATGTTGAGATCCATATTTGCCCTCTATATTCACAGGTGTTAGGGGCACAAGACCCCTACTGAACTGAAAAACCATTAAAAACAGAAATGCTATTTTTAGACTGTAGTTATTTACCCAACAAGCACAGCAAGGACATTTTTGTATTGCAACTCTCAATCCCATTCTTTCGAATATCAGTCAGCATGCCAACGCCTAAAATGAAGAAATAGATTTTAAAGATCTACAGAGATATTTGCAGGAACACCTCAGCAAGCGAGAGTCCAAAAGTGGCAGGATAAAACCCAAGACATCAATCCATGGCTTATACCAAATGAGAGACTCCATCCTGGGCACACAGAAAACTGGGCAACCTGGAAGGCGCTGAACTGACTGCACTCTGGCATCATGGAGATGCAGAGCCAACCTTAAGAAATGGGGCCACAAAATGGAGTCCATGACATGCAAGCGCAGAGAAGAACAAACCAGAGACCACCTATTACAATGCAGCCTGAGCCCTGTCACATGCACAATGGAGGACCTTCTTATCCATGAGAAAAGCGCATGTGCGGACTTGCACCAACTAGGGAGGCTGTCAGGTTTTACAATGTATTGTAATGTAATATAGCTGAGTCATGCACTGCTAATAGGCTTCTATTGGAAATGCTGAATCATGCATTAACTGTATATAGGACATCATTTGGGTAATGTGTTCTGGCCTGGTCCAAATGAGTGTTAATGATGCAATCCTGGGTTTGAGTTAAGTCAATGAGTTGGGAACCAATCAGAGATTGCTATGTGTAAATGTATAGAACTGTATATAAGGAAGTCATGTACAGTGTATTCTCTCTCTCCTTGTGCTGTGATGCTGTTTGCCGAAGGCTCTGTGTAACTGATTAAAAGAACCTGTCTGCTAAGACAAGATATAACCGTGTGCTGTAGTAAGTTTGTAGTGTCATCTAGATTGGGGGGGGGGGGGGAGGACAATGGTAAAACTGACAATAGCCAGGCATGTGCTCAAGTGTCTGTAAAGAGTTCCAGAGTGACTGCAGTCTGTGGAAGCAGTTGACTGAAAATACTGTGCAGGAAGAAGCTACTGGAAAGCGCTGAAGTTGTGCAACTGATCTGCTGCTGAATTGTGAGATAAAACACGACAGAGGCACTCCAAGTGGCCAGCTACTGGTCAAAGGACATTTAATAGAATGCCAAGTTTGCAAACTTTGGGGGATTTTTTTTGTTTTCTTTTTTGTTTTTAAATACAATGCAACTGTTTGGTTCACTCCTGATATGATAAATAAATGCTGCCTGCCATGCCTCTGAGGTTGAAATGTAGGTTTCTAAACACCGCGGATAACAAGGACCGTGGAGACAAGGATCCATGAGAAAAGCGCATGTGCAGACTTGCACCAACTAGGGAGCCCAGACTGGCTTCCCTCAGTCAAGGCAGAGTCGGGACCAGGGTGCCCCTTCAAGATTCCTGGTGTACCACGAGAACAGCTCTGGAAGTCGCTGAACAGAGTGCCCTCTGACATCATGAGAAGCAGAGCCAACCTTAAGAAATGGAGCTACAAAGTAGAGTTCACAACATGCAAGTGTGGAGAAGAGCAAACCACAGACCACCTATTACAATGCAGTCTGAGCCCTGCCACATACACAAGGGAGGACCTTCTTATAGCAACACCAGAGGCACTCCAAGTGGCCAGCTGCTGTTCAAAGGACATTTAATATAGTGTCACGTTTTTTAAAACTTTGTGTTTTTAAATACATCACAATTGTACACTTGGTTCACTCCTGATACGATAAATAAAATATCTCATTCTTTTCCTGCTACTCACAAAACACAGTAGAACCCCTTGACTCTAACTCGGCCCTCCAAATTCTCATACTGACCTTCATCCACTGCAGGGTTGCCAATGGGTTTCCACTCAAAGAAAGGCAGGTCAATTGGAGGTCCTTGCCTTTTGCTATAGGGTCGGTATATCCTTCAATATGTGGGGGCTGAGGTGGGACTGTTGAAGAAGAAGAAAATAAAATTGAATCAGTAAGTATTCAGAAGATGCCAACATCTTGTCAAACAGAGCTTAGGAAGCCCAGAAGTTCTGTACCAAGGTGGGAACTGTCTTTAGTATCTTGATCTGAAAGTTTAACCTGTACACCAGTGGTTCTCAACCTGTGGGTCCCCAGGTGTTTTGACCTACAACAGGTCAACCCTCCTGTTCAAGGAGCTCCACTGGTTGCCATTCATTTTCCGGACCCAATTCAAGGTGCAGGTTCTTACCTACAAAGCCCTGAACGGTTTGGGACCCGCCTACCTGCATGACCACATCTCTGTATACGAACTCACACGATCTCTTTGATCATCTGGAGAGGCCCTGCTCTCGATCCCACCAGCATCGCAGGCTCGATAGGTGGGGACGAGAGAGAGGGCCTTTTCGTTGGTGGCCCCTTGACTCTGGAACTCCCTAAGGACATCAGGCAGGTCCCAACTCTGGCAGTCTTTAGGAGGAGTTTGAAGACATGGTTGTTCCAGTGTGCCTTCCCAGAATCCCATAGCACTTTGTCCTCCAAAGCACTTTACATATTAGGTCTGCTTGTACGTTTTCCACAAACGCCACTTTCACCTTTTCGCCCATGTCCCGGCGTCATTTCCAATTTTAACTTTACATTTGGCCTTCCTACTGTTTTTAATTGTGTGTTGTCTTATTGTTAATAGTTGCATATTTTATTGTCAATGTTTTTTTATTTTAATTGCTTGTATTGTTGTTATTATTGCTTGTATTGTTGTATTTGGGCTCGGCCTCATGTAAGCCGCACCGAGTCCCTTGGGGAGATGGTAGCAGGGTACAAATAAAGTGTTATTATTGTTATTATTATTATTAACTCCCAGAAATCCCAGCCAGTTTACCAGCTGTTAGAGTTTCTGGGAGTTGAAGGCCAAAACATTTGGGGACCCACAGGTTGAGAACCACTGCTGTACACTATGAGCCAGGAACATTGCTGGAACACTATGATGTCAACAATGTACAAAAATGAAATCCAAAAGGAAACTGGAAGTCATCAAATGCACTGTTTCTTAAGCTATCTGATATGAGGCACCAACGACTCTCTTAAATATTTCGCAAATATCTGCTTATTATCTTTTCCATCCAAAAGAGAAAAGTTACATAATAACTTCAGGCTTATCATGAAAGTTGGGCAATGTTTCCTTCAGTACAATTTGCAGAGTCTTCACAAAGAAAATCCATTAGTTTATTAGTTAGTTCATCCTTTCATAGACCAAAGGGGTCTAATGAAGAAATCCAAGCCACTTTCATGAACTGGTTTACTCAGGATGAGGTCAGAAAGCATTTCTGAAGGGTATTTTGCTGAGAGCTGCATGCTGGTAGTGGGTAAAACCTTTGGTGTGAAGGTAAAGCTCAAAGAAGGTGCATCTACCTCTTCTCTCCTTCTTCCTCTTTGTTCTCTCTTTCATGCCTATCCAGCAGTCATTGAATAATAGAGTTGGAAGAAACCACATGGGCCATCTAGTTCAACCCCCTGCCATGCAGGAAAAGCACAATCAAAGCATCCCTGACAGATGGTCATTCAGCCTCTGTTTAAAAGCCTCAAAATAAGCTTCTACTGAACTCCGAGGCAGTGAGTTCCACTGCTGAATGGTTCTTACAGCCAGGAAGTTCTTCCTAATCTTCAGTTGGAACCTCCTTTTCCATAATCTCCTCCAGGTGTTTTGGACTTCCGCTCCCACAGTTCCTAACAGCTGGTAAGCTGGCTAGGATTTCTGGGAGTTGAGGTCCAAAACACCTGGAGGCCCAAAGGTTGGGAACCACTGTTTTAGATATTTAAACATGGGGATCATGTCTCCTCTCACCCTTCTCTTTTGCAGGCTAAACACACCCAGCTCTATAGCCTGCTAATCATAGGGAAGGTGGGCAGAGAGAATTTGAGCCTTAAGTGTTGTCTATAGACACACTGTGGAAAGGTACAGGAATGAATACATGCCAAGCCAACTCATAAATATGGAAGACAGCAAGAACACACTTACTCAACCAGTTGTTCTAGCCTACTTCCAACATTCTGGGACATTGGCACACTTTAATACAGACTATGCACATAAAATCTAATGTACATCATTCCACAGCAAATGGTTCATTACCAGATTTTATCCAGGGAATCAACTGTGTGAAATCAGCCCATACACATTCGATTTTATGTTTGACGACTATATTCAAAGCAGTGAGGTAATGGTTAAAGGCTGAAATATAGGCACTCAGCAAAACAATGCCCAATCACCATAGAGAATCCTCTCCAAACCTGGGGGACTATGCCAATCTTATTGACAAAGCCACCTTTACAGTTCAGGGGCAGAATCCTATCGATAGTCTCACATCTAGTAAGCCCTGCATAGGTACACAAATTTTTTTTGAATCTTCTAGAGTAGTGTTTCTCAACCTGGGGGTCAGGACTCCTGGGAGGGGGGGAGTCGCAAGGGGGTGCCAGAGGGGTTGCCAAATTCCATCAGAAAACATAGTATTTTCTGTTGGTCATGGGGGTTCTGTTTGGGAAGTCTGGCCCAGTTCTATCGTTGGTGAAGTTCAAGGGACTCTTTGATTGTAGGTAAACTATAAATCCCATCAACTACAACTTCCAAATGTCAATGTCTATTTTTCTCAAACTCCACCAGTGTTCACATTTGGGCATATTGAGTATTTGTGCCAAGATTGGTCCAGGCCCATCATTGTTTGAGTCCACAGTGCTCTCTGGATGTAGGTGAACTACAACTCCAAAACACAAGACCAATGCCCACTATACTCTTTCAGTATTTTCTTTTAGTCATGGGAGTCCTATGTGCAAAGTTTGTTACAGTAAGTCGTAACAGGATCAAGTGTGTGTGTGTGTGTGTGTGTGTGTGTGTGTGTGTGTGTGTGTGTTAAAGAAAACCTTATTCTGTTGATTATTATGTGCAGCTGCTAATGTAGATCAACTAGTAAGTTTGGACCACACCTGGTGGGGTATAACTGTATGAGTTTTAGAATACAGTTCAGCTTTTGCTCTGAGGAGCCTTTACTTAGGCATTTTGCTCAACCATTTGTGTTGCTCTCTCATTTGGATGAAGAAGCCTTATTGTGTATTGCTTACAAGGACTATGCAAGTTTGCTTCACTGTTTGCTATACTGCAAGTTTATGTTTTAACTTTGAGGATAGGAGTAACGATGCTCTGTTCATTTTACTCTTGTATGTGTGGAATGTTATTGTGTCTTCTGCATTGGACCTGACTACAACCCGCTATGTGCAACAAAGTTTGGCTCAATTCCATCATTGGTGGACTTCAGAATGCTGTTTGAGCATAGGTTAACTATCAATCCCAGCAACTACAACTCCCAAATGACAAAATCAATTCCCACACAACCCCACCAGTATTCAAATTTAGGCTTATTGGGTATTTGTGCCAAATTTGGTTCAGTGAATGAAAATACATCCTGCATATCACTTACTTACATTACAGTTCATAATAGTAGCAAAATTACAGTAGCAATGGAAATGATGTTATAGTTGGGGGTCACCACAACATGAAGAACTGCATTAAGGGGTTGCAGCATTAGGAAGGTTAGGAAACACTGTTCTAGAGACCACTTAAAAACCACTTCCAAAGTACATCAGAAGCACTTTATTTTGTGGTTCGTGCAATTAAATCCTTCCTCATCCCCAGATCCTCCTCCCGATAATTTACACTGTCCTATCTCCCAGTGTTTTAAAATTTTATCCTTGAATTTGGCCCTGTCCAGTGAAATCTTTTGTGTTTTAATGTTTGATTTTATATTGTTGTGTCGCTTATTATATTGGTTTTGCATTTTATGTATTTTATTTTTCTGGTTCTGTTATGTTTTTGTGTTATATTGTGTGTACTGTACTGATGGGCGTAGCCTCATGTAAGCCGCACCAAGTCCCCCTGGGGGAGATGGAGTGGGGTATAAATAAAGATGATGATGATTATTATTATTATTATTACATTGTGGGATCTTTTTTTCTTTCAACACCTTCCACTTTTCTTATGGTTTTAGGGGGAAGGAAGGGGAATACTTCCAAGATGTGTCTGGCTGAATCTGTGGATACAGAATCCATGGATGCAGAAGAGCAGAATTTACCAGCAGACAGCTGGACAGTTTGGGATGGATCAGCAAGATGTCCTGGCTCAAATTCTTTGAACAAGAGCAACAAACTCCCCCCAACCCCCCTTCACACACATACACACACAAGTTCAGCATAAGGATTCTTGTAATAACTCATTTGCAGACTTAGATTTATGCATACATTTCATCCCATGTGTTGTTTGCAGGATGCAATGCATGAAATTGGTGCTGCCCTCTGCGCCACACTTTTTTGCACTTTGATCCAATTCAGTGGGCCTTGGGGTTTAAAATCAAAGCAGCAGCAACTGAGTTGGTTCCATGGGCCTAAAGACTTCCCATGCCTGCTCTAAAATGCGCAAATGATACAATAACTAAGTCAACATCATCAAAATAATAGGATAAGAGCTGAAGGCGGGTAGGGTAGGAAAATGGATTTGAGGCTTCCGCTTTGAATGGCAGGTCTGCTGATCCACAGAGGAAATCAAACACACCCACGCCCAAGCAGACAGCCCACGAATCATCATTCTCTCCTCTTCTTTTCGTTGATAAAAAAAATATTGCATATTTTCCTGATTAAACTGACTAATATAGGTCATTCCCATCATATGCCTGTGTGAGCTCTGACTCTTTTGTCTCTCTTTTTAAAAGACTGAAATTCCATTTATTATCTTGCGCTGCAGCTTCCCCTAGCTTGATCTTGTCTGTTTGCTTTCTCTGCAATGGAGTCTCTTGTTTCTTTTTTCCTTTTATTACTAAGAGCCCTGGGTGATCTCTCTCTCTCTCCTTTCTCCTCCACGTTCTGCCCTGCCTTTTTCCTCTCCCCATCCCACTTCCCCGTGTGTTTGTTTTTTATTAAGAGAGTAATAAAGCACTCTCCTTGGGCACTTCGTTGCTGTTATAATGATGTTGCCGTAGCCCCAGTAAAGGTCTGACAAAGCATTCTGTATGACTTACACAGGATGTTCATGGTGAAGGCAACAACCGATGGGATTATAGCAACAGCGTTGGAGGCTCTGCAGGTCAACCGCTGCCTATTGTCTAAACTCCTGGGGGTGAACCTGAAAGAAAGCAGAGAAGGAGTCTTGGGAAAGAATTCGTTGCCGATATTTGAGGAGTTGCCCTAGCCCTTTTTTTCAGTTTCTTTAGTTAGTTATTATATTATCATTGCAAGTCTGGAAACATTGCTTTTGTGGATTCCAGTTCGAAAAATACACCAGACAGATTGGGCCAGGGATGCTATCTATATAAATAAAAATGTAATGTTAATTTGTGGAATTAACATAACTCAAAAACCACTGGACAAATTGACACCAAATTTGGACACAAGACACCTATCACAATTGAGACTCGTGCACCAACTGCGACCGTACCTCGGAAAGGCTGATCTGGCCGGGGTGGTCCATGCCTTGGTCACCTCTAGATTGGACTACTGTAACGCGCTCTACATGGGGCTGCCCTTGAAAAAGGCTCGGAAATTCTAACTGGTCCAACGGGCAGCGGCCAGGATGTTAACTGGTGCTCCTTACAGAGAGAGGTCAACCCTCCTGTTCAAGGAGCTCCACTGGCTGCCGTTTATTTTCCGAGCCCAATTTAAGGTGCAGGTGCTTACCTACAAAGCCCTAAACAGTTTGGGACCATCCTACCTGTGTGACCACATCTCCGTTTATGAACCCACGCGCACACTTCATTCATCCGGAGAGGCCCTGCTCGTGATTCTGCCTGTGTCACAGGCGCGTTTGGTGGGGACGCGAAACAGGGCCTTTTCCGTGGTGCCCCCCCCCCCACTCTGGAGCACCATCCCCAAAGATCTTAGACAGGCCCCTACATGGGCAGTCTTTAGAAAGAACTTGAAGACCTGGCTGTTCCAATGTGCCTTTCCACAATAGGAAAACTCCAATAACAAGTCCCAGAAGCACTTTATTAGAATTAAGACTACTGCACACTGCACACTGCACACTGCACTTTGTAAGCTGCATCGAGTCCTTCAGGAGATGCTAGCGGGGTACAAATAAAGTTAATAATAATAATAATAATAATAATAATAATAATATCAAGCCAACGAGTGACCATCACTCATAAAAACATTGAAAAACACAGCGGAAGGGACTTCAAAAGCCAAAAAAGCAAAAAGACGCTACCACTCATGTTCAAAAATGACTCCCCCGGCAAACAATACACACAATAGCATATCCACCCTCTCTTCAGGACTACAGCTCCCAGCATCCCCTAGACCAGGCCCTTTAGAAGAGAAGGATGATCCAAATGCACTGCTTCCAAGATGCAAGTTTTTTTCTCCTTGGCTCTCTTTGAGAACATCCCAATCCCTACATATTTCCAACTAGCTGTCCCCTGCCACACGTTGCTGTGGCCCAGTCTGTGTTTATATGTTTTGTATGTGTATATATGCATATACATATGTGTGTGTGTGTATATGTGTATTTGTGTATATATCTGGTTTTGTGCATGCATTGTAATGTATTTTTTGTTTTTTGGCTTTTAAGTCTCATCTGCTGTGTTTTTCAGTGTTTTTATGAGTGATGGCCACTTGTTGGCCTGATAGGTGTATTGTGTCCAAATTTGGTGTCAATTCATCCAGTGGTTTTTGAATTATGTTAATCCCACAAATGAACATTACATTTTTATTCATATAGATTTCCTATTCCTGGACAGATTGACAGATTAGATAGAAATAGGTAGGTAGGTAGGTAAGTAGGTAGGTAGATAGATCACGAGGACTGCTGGGAGTTACAGTCCAAGAACAGGTAGAGAAGGAAGAAAGGAGAGAAAGAAAAAGGGAGGGGAAGGAAGGAAAGCGATAGAGAAAGAAGGAGGGAAAGAAGGAAGGAGAGAATGAAAGAAAAAAAGGGAAAGAAGTAAGGAAAGAGGGAAGGAGGGAGAGAAACAAAGGAGAAAAAGAGGGTGGGAAGGTTGGCCACATCAATGTGTGGTGGGTACAGCTAGTCTATATATATATATATGCTCTATTTGTTTTGAGTGACATCATAACTCAAAATCCGCTGGAGAAATTGCCACCAAATTTGGCCACAAGACACCTACTAACCCAAGGAGAGACCATCACTCAAAAAATTGATTTTATCATTTGGGAGTTGTACTTGCTGTGATTTATAGTTCACCTACAATCAAAGAGCATTCCGAAATCCACCAACGATGGAATTGAACCAAACTTGGCACACAGGACTCCCATGACCAACAGAAAACACTGGAAGGGATTGGTGGGCATTAGCCTTGAGTTTTGGAGTTGTAGTTCACCTACATCCAGAGAGCAGTGTGGCCTCAAACAATGATGGATCTGGACCAAACTTGGCACAGATACTTAATATGCCCAAATGTGAACACTGGTGGAGTTTGGGGAAAATAGACCTTGACACTTGGGAGTTGTAGTTTTTGGGATTTATAGTTCATCTATAAATCCGTATCTGTATGCTTGTCTACAATGCCCTGCCTCATGCACAGAGAAGGATTTTTTTTAAAGCTACAGACAATGTGTTTGCTGTTGCCCATTTTTGGTCAAGAATTATTTAGCTGCTTCCTCTATTTTATCAGTTTTAAACTTATCTATGCAGTGCTTTTGACATGAAATAAATAAATAAATTGTTGAAAAGGCAAAATAAACTGTGCTTTTTCTTCTCGGGGTCACCAAAGCTCTGCTACTGTTTTACAGTCCAAGGAGAAAGACAGAGATTACTCTGCCTTTTCAACTGTGAAAGCCCAGATCTACATGTTTTTAAAAATGGTGATACCTGCCACCCCCTAGTCTACCCCACCTACCCCCTGAAGGCCTCTTGATCCAGATATACACATGAGAAAAATAACTACTTGTCATAGAAACTGCAAAGCAAGAAGTCTAAAATGGTGCATCTTGTGTTCCTCCAGCACCAGATTTTTGTTCTGGTGTGAACGACCCCTGAGAGTTCTGGCCAAATAACTTTTCCCATGATCCCAACCCTGCCTGTTTTTATTTGATATTTTTTACAGAAAATATTAGGGCTGGGCGGTTTCATTCGTTAATTTCGTAATTCGTTATTAATTCGTTATTTTTTTTATAACGAAGCGATATTGAACCATTCAGGAGCAACTAAAAATCGAAACGAATTTTTCAATTCGTTTCATAATTGTTTCGTAATTGTTTCGAAATCGTTTCAAAATCGTTTCGTTATTATTTCCGCATGTCTGGTGCAAGTTTTATAGTTGTTGTTTGTTTTATCAGTGAAAAAAAATATAATTATCACACCAACAGTCAACAACAGAGGGAGAGGGAAGCTTCAGAAGTTCCCCCTGTCCCATTTGGAGGTTTTTTTAGCGTATTGCACAGTCGCGTCCACCATTAACGAATCGATTCGTAATTGTTTCGTAATTGTTTCGTAATTTCGTAAATTTCGTAAATTTCGTAAATTTCGAACTTTTTTAAAGAAAAATTTCGGAATTCTTTTAAAAATCGAAACGCAAAACCCCCCTAAAAACGAATCGAGTTTAGAAACAATTTTTTCCGTGGTTGCCCAGCCCTAGAAAATATGATACAGGGGCCGTGGTGGCACAGCGGGTTAAATCGCTGAGCTGCAGAACTTGCTGACCGGAAGGTCGGCAGTTCGAATCCATGAATGGGGTGAGCTCCCACTGTTAGCCCCAACTTCTGCCAACCTAGCAGTTCAAAAACATTTATTTATTTATTTATTTATTTATTTATTTAAAACATTTATATTCCGCCCTTCTCACCCCAAAGGGGACTCAGGGCGGAGCATAGTATATCTACGGCAAACATTCAATGCCATTACACAAATTCACAAAGAATACATAAACATTAAAAAACATTTATCAATATATTAAAATACACCATTTAAAATCGTCCCAGTCATCCGCGTCAAATCTAATTGGCCTGGTCATGCAAATGTGAGTAGATAAATAGGTACCGCTTCTGCAGGAAGGTAATGGCGCTCCATGCAGTCATGCCAGCCATATGACCTTGGAGGTGTCTAAGGACAACGCCGGCTCTTCGGCATAGAAATGGAGATGAGCGACTACACTTAATGTCAAAGGGAAACCTTTACCTTTATCTATTATACATGGTACCCAGAAAATTAGATTTGTGGTTAGTTTTAAAATGTAGAGATAGATAAATAGATATCCAAACAGAGAGAGCTAGAGAGAATGAGAGAGGAGGCAAGGAAGAAAGAAGGCAGCAAGGAAAGAAAGTAATTCGAACTCCCCCATCCCACCCCTCTTCTTTGGTTCTCTTCTTCCATTGATTGCAGTTTTAAATGATAGAAATCAAATGCTCCCAATATAAGACATTTTGTTATCAGAGACAAAATAATGTCCTACATCCATCCTATAATTTAAAGCCCCGACAGTCTCTTCCCACCTAAGGGTTGCCTCAGTGTTAAAGAGTTTATCATTGGAGCCAGGCTGGACGTGAGATGTCACATCTGTCAGATCTTTGTCACCTGCAGAGAAAGAGAAGGTGGTTAAGAGCGATGTGAATTCACTGATCAAATCAACCTTCCAAACAGTCCTGCAGTAGCCCTTAAAATAGTTCAATTGGTTTGACTCCTTTCACACTACGCAGCTTGAGCACCATGACTCCACTATAACTTCCAGGGCTATATTCATTGGAAAGCTGGTGTTAGCTGAGGCACTTTGCCTCCCTACCAGACAATTCTAAATACCCCACTCTGAACTGCAAATACCCAGAAATCTATTGAGCAGAATCATGGCCAATAAAGTGGAATCACAGCACTAGAATTGTGAAGTATCAAAGGCAAAGGTATGAAAACGGGCATTGATCATTTTCAGCATTGATATGTTACCCATGAATATCATATACGTATCAAGTGCATAAGTGTTGGAAACAGCAGCCTTCCAAGTCTTCACTATTTGTTTATTTATGTATATATTTGCTAACATGTATTGTTTGTATATATTGATTTGCCAGTTCGACTGCCTCTTTGGTGCAGGAAGGGCTACAGACATGTGATTGTACAGAGCATGTTCAGACTCAAGACTCAAGACTCTTCACTACCTCTGAGGATGCTTGCCATAGATGCAGGCGAAACGTCAGGAGAGAATGCCTCTAGAACATGGCCAAATAGCCCGAAAAAACCTACAACAACCCAGTGATTCCAGCCATGAAAGCCTTCGACAATACGTTAGCAGTTTGCTTTAGACCTCAGTGGAAGTGGATGCTGGATGCTTTTGGACTTCAATAGAAGCAGATGTGTTTTGGACTTGTGCAGGAATAGTTTACATTATGTTTGCTTTGAGAAGTAGTGAGTACATTTACACAGTTTGGACTTCCATAAGATGTATGCTTAAATACTTTGGACTATGGACTATTGATAAGAATGATGCCCTGTGTTCTCAACACAGGGAAACTACATCCTAACTGTAACTGAACATCAATAAGAAATGTGCCTATATGCTAAATTAATGCAAGATGTTTGTGGGTAAACAAGATAGGTTACTTTTTTAAGACTTTGCTTTTTTGTCTCTGAGTGCATATTTTTAAACTAAGAGATTCCAAGGAAGGGTATATGTTTTTTGGGCAACTGCAATTTCAACTTCAATTTCAAAGAAACATTTTCAAAACTCTACTAGCCATATACAAGGGTTGAATGAAAAGTAATGCCTCCACCTTTGTAACGCTTCAACAAATGGCAGTACTGGTATGTGGCAGGTACTGGCTTGTTCAGTAGACTCTCCTCTACAGTCCCATTCTGGCGGGAAGCCTTAGCATTGAACGGTTGTGTTGTTAAAGTGCAAAGTATGGAATCCTGCGCAGACAGTCAGCCAATGCAACTTAAGCAATGTGCAGTCATTGAATTCTTAACAGCAGAAGGTGTCACCCCCCGAAAAGACCAAAAGATTAATCAGAGAATGCAAGCTGTTTATGGTGATTGTGTGGATGTGAGTACTGTGCGTCATTGGGCAAGTAAGTTTAAAGATGTTGAGGTGGGAACATCTGACTTGCGTGACAAACAAAGAGTTGGACATCTTGTGACAGCAACCACCGAGTTTCACAAGCAAAAAGTTCAGGACAATAGTCGTATCACTCAGAGAGAAATTTCAAGCATAATTGGCATTTCACAAGAACATGTGGGTCACATTATTGCTTTGCTTGGCTATCAGAAGATCTGTGCATGATGGGTTGCGGAAACAGAGTGTCGACTTCTTCCGTGACAGCTTCAGAAAACTTGTTCATTGTTGGCAGAAATGTATCCAGTTGTCCGGTGATTATCGTAGTTAAAGAGCACATTCTGTGGTAGTTAAAGAGCACATTCTAAGGATTATTTCTGCATTTCATTTATTAAAATATTCTCATCCAAACTCAAGTAACAAAGGTGGAGGCATTACTTTTCATTCAACCCTCGTATATGTTATTTTTGTGCAGTGGCATTTCTTTGTTCCTGGCAGTTCAAAGACATGGTTTATCTGCTTAACAGACATGGTTTATCTGTGTGCCATTACATAAATGCTTGTGAACATCCTTTATTTTCAAAGCGTTGACTTCTAACAAGGTCATGCCTTTCCTTCTCTAGTGGTTTTCAAAAGGTGGCCTCCAGATGTTCATGGAGATTCACATTTGCCAAAAAGATATGACATCATTTTTCTTTACAAAAAGGTTATGAATTAAATTTCTCCAAAAATAAGTAATCCAAAACTTTGAAAAAGACATGTATGCAGTCAATTACTTTGATTGAACCCGAAGCTGTTTGGGAGAGGAACTGCCTTAAACCAGTTCATGTCAATGATGAAAAACAACATGGCAGCCTTTTCAACTACAAAGAGCAAACTAATGTGGTCGGAAAGAGTAGCAAAATATTTAAATGATCCTCAAACCAAGTAGTTTCTACATTGATTGTGTTCCAGAAGAAGTGCTGGGAAGAGTTCCTTGTTTGGACTCCCATAATCCGATGGCTAGCATGGCCAATGGGAGTGCAGTCATAATAATGCACTTTATTTATATTCTGTTTTATCTGCCCGGAGGGGATCAGAGCAGATTATAATATACATATAAAGAAAAAATTCAATGTCTTTTACACAACGAACAATGACATACAATACACAGATAAGACAAGCCTTCCTCTTGTTTCATCTCTGGCGTCTGGAGGTGATGCTCAACTCTGACCATGGGGAGGTACTCTAGTTCCATTTTCCATGCCGAGGAGCCTACTGTCTGTGGAAATCTCTGATCTTTTTGTGGGCATGTCTGCATGGGGTGCCCTTTTACCTTCCCACCAAGGCGGTATCTATTGATCTACTCGGATTGCATGCCTTTGAACTGCTAGGTTGGCAGAAGCTAGGGCTGACAGTTGGGAGCTTACCCCAATTCATGGCTTCAAACTGCTAACCATTTGGTCAGCAGCTTTTCTTGCAGCTAGCGGTTTTAACCGCTGTGCTACCACGGTCCATTTGCTATCAAAAATGTCTTGCTTTTGTGAGTTGCTGCTGTGCCTCCATTTATATCCTGTGGCGTTTCATTTGGCACCTCTTGTACAAAACCCAACAAGCAGCTGATTCTGTTTTTCAGGACTTGCAGTGAGACTGCATTTACCAGCACTGTCTGTGCTAGGAGCATATTCAGTGCGCACACCTCTCTCTTCCAACATCTTCCTAAACTTCTGAACATCTGCCACCTACAGAAGATCCCTCACTAAGCATAGGGCTGGCCTTCCATACGTGTAATAGTTGCATATACTGGCGTGCTTGCTTGCAAAGATTACAAGGACATTTGCAGTTGTCTATTCGCCAAATGAAATTCTGCCTAGCAGTGCAATGCAGCCTCTGATTATTTCTCTACTTAAAGATATTGGGGAGCATGTATCAACCCAGCTTCAGGAAGAAATGGGATGCTGAAAGTCATTTCCTTACCCGTACTAAAGGCAATCTCAGCTGGAGGCCGGGCATCATTCACTTGGCAACTTAGCGTGTATTCCTTGCCAGCCACCCAAGTCACAGTACTGTTGGCTTCATATTCCATAATGAGTGGTCTTTTGGGGGGAACTGTTCAGAAAAGAAGCAAAGTGGGGAATGTTGACCCAAGGATTCTTTCCTCCCTTCACTTCTGCTGTCATGAGCACCTTCAGAAATCATTGTCACGTCTTCAAACCCACGGCAAAAATGATCCATCCCCAGTTCTGCCCAGTGGTGGGAAGTTGAGTGAGTGGAGGCTGCATCTACACTGCCATACAATCCAGTTCAAAGTTTGTTTGTTTTTTTAATGTCAGGAGCGACTTGAGAAACTGCAAGTCGCTTCTGGAGTGAGAGAATTGGCCGTCTGCACAGACGTTGCCAGGGGACGCCCGGATATTTTGATGTTTTACCATCCTTGTGGGAGACTTATCTCATGTCCTCGCATGGGAAGCTGGCGCTGACAGGGGGAGCTCATCTGCACTCTCCCCGGATTCGAACCTGCAACCTGTCGGACTTCAGTCCTACCAGCACAAGGGTTTAACCCATTGCGCCACTGGGGGCTCCCATTTTCAAAGCAGATAACCTAGATTCAGAAACTGGATTATATGGTGGTGTAGATGGAGTTAGAGAGAGAGATAGAGGCGAGGGTTTGGTAGAAAGAGAAAGAGGGATTAAAAGAGGTTGGTCAGAGAAAAAAGAGACCAGAAAAAGAGACAGAAGGAAAGGGGGAGCAGAAAGAAAAACAGGGGGAAAGTGAGTAGAACGGAGATTGAGAGAGAGAGCAGGCAGTCTACCTGCTTTGAATTCTGCTCTCAAACTTTGCGGGCTTCTGCCCTCCGAGTTAACAGCACAAGATCCCTAATAGCATATCAAGATTTATTTTGGTCCTTAAGATTTCTCATGGGAGAAGAGATAGGCAAATAATCTGAGCAGGTTTAAAGCAGCTATGCTTTATGCTGAGCTGGTTTCTGAACGAAATTTGGAGGAGGAGGAAGTAGCAGAGATCTGATTAGGAGGGCAATCGAGCAGAGCACAGATTCCCTCTGGTACTTACTAAGCACCGTAAGCTGCACGCTGCGGGAAATAATACCAGCACTTTTCTCGGAGGGTCCCACCTGGCATTCATATGAAGCGTCATCATCCAGTTGACTCCTCATTACTTGCAAGTGATACTGGCCTGGAGCATCAGAAAACAATTATTTATTAATTACATGCACATCCTCCCTTTCCTCCGACATGCCCAAGCAAACAGAGGTTTCTTCCTCCCTACTTCAGTTACTAATTACATTTGTGGAGGGGTTTTTTTCAATCTTTTTAAAAATCTAGTCAGATGGATTTGGTTCCTTTTGGAAACAGGAACCAAATATTCCATATTTGTGTCCCACCTTTCTTCCCAGTGAGCTCAGCAGCATAGATGCTTCACACATACATTGTTTTAAAGTAGTGGTCCTCAACCTTCCTTATGCCGTAACCCCTTAATACAGTTCCTCATGTTGTGGTGACCCCCAACCATAATTTTTTTTCATTGCTACTTCATAACTGTCATTTTGCTACTGTTATGAATCGTAATGTAAATATCTGATATGCAGGATGTATTTTCATTCACTGGACCAAATTTGGCACAAATACCCAATATGCCCAAAATGGGGGGAGGGGGTGACTTTGTAGATGCTGGGATTTATAATTAAGCTACAATCAAAGGGCATTCTGAACCCCACCAACAATTAAATTGAACCAAACTTGGCATGCAGAACTCCCATGACCAACAGAAAATACTGGAAGGGTTTGGTAGGCCTTGAGTTTTGGAGTTCTAGTTCACCTACATCCAGAAAGCACTGGGGCCTCAAACAATGATGAATCTGGACCAAACTTGGTATGAATACTCAATATGCCCAAATTTGAACACTGGTAGAGTTTGGGGAAAATACACCTTGACACTTGGGAGTTGTAGTTGCTGGGATTTATAGTTCACCTACAATCAAAGAACATTCTGAGTCCCACCAACGATAGGATTGGGCCAAACTTCCCACATGGTACCCCCATGACCAATAGGAAATACTGTTTTCTGATGGTCTTTGGCGTCCCCTCTGACACCCCTCAGGGGTCCCGACCCCCAGGTTGAGAAATGCTCTTTTAAAGGGAATTTACAGAGGGAGTAGCAATAGGACATGCTCTATTCCTTTAATGAGTATGAGACAAAATTGCTCACTTCTGTCTATCCAGCTGCTGTTGTTGTGCGTCTTCAAATCATTTCTAATGAGGCAACCCTATGACAAATCCTTAGGAAGAGGCTGCTTGCCATTGCCTTCCTATGAGGCTGAGAGAATGCTATCTGCCCATTGTCAGCCAATCGATTTTCCATGGCCAAGCAGACATTCCAGCTCAGGTCTCCCACAATCCTAGACTGGCACTACAATTATTGTGCCGCAATGACTCAATGGCTGAACAGACAGCAGGGACTAAAGTACACTTTGCCTGGCCCAAAACATAGAGTGGCTCACCTTTATTGGTGTCCCCCACCATGCTGTAACGAGGAAACCGTGGAATGTGCCGGTCTGGGCCCAGCAAAAGCCCATCCTTCACCCATTGCACAATGCCAGAGGGGTTGTCCACCTCACACTTTAACAGAGCTGTTTCCCCTTCATGAATGGTGGTATTAACTGGTTCCACTCGAAAAGCCTGCTGAAAGTTCTCTGCAAGACCTAAAAGAGATTAAAAATGAATAACAACCAACAGTCAAGGTTTCTCTAATAATAATAATAATAATAATAATAATAATAAGAAGAAGAAGAAGAAGAAGAAGAAGAAGAAGAAGAAGAACTGACAGTTCCTAGGAAAAAAATTGAGAGCAAAATTGACCAAGAAAAAACATGGATGTGGCTCACAAAGGCCATCAAAGCTAGAATTGAAAAGTCGACAACAGATCCCAAGTGTAGACTCTGCAAGGAAGGAGATGAAGCAATAGATCACGTACTCAGCTGCTGCAAGAAGATCGCGCAGACAGACTACAAGCAGAGGCATAACACTGTTGCTCAGATGATTCATTGGAACTTGTGCCACAATTACCATCTGCCTGTTACAAAGAACTGGTGGGATCACAAGCCTGAAAAAGTTACAGAAAATGAACATGTCAAACTACTCTGGGACTTCCACATTCAGACTGACAGAGTTTTGGAGCACAATACTCCTGACCTCACGATCATGTTAGAAAACCAAGTATGGATTGTCAATGTTGGAATCCCAGGCGACAGCAAGATTGAAGAGAAACAACTGGAAAAGCTGACACAATATGAGGATTTAAAGATCAAACTGCAAAGACTCTGGCACAAGACAGTCAAGGTGGTCCGAGAGGTGATTGGCATACTGGATACAGTGCCTAAAGACCTTGACCTGCACTTAAACACAATCGGCACTGACAAAATTACCATCTGTCAGCTGCAAAATCCTACTGTCAATTTTATTAAGGTGAAGTAATCTGCATTATGCTGTCGCACGCTGGGCCTGTGCATAAGACCGTAGGACATAAATTCTGTGTGCCCAACGGGACGCCGGGGCTGCCTCAGATTAAAGGCCCTTGGATTTCCTTAAACAGAGTATTTAGATTGCTTAAAGGTTCAACAAAGTTCTTTATTAATGAAAACAAACAGGTACTTTAAGGCTTTCTTAACAGTCTATTGGCTCTTTCTCAATCTTGTCCACAGGGAACAGTCACTATCTTCATAACTGTAACTAATGGGGAAATCCTTAACTTCTAATCTGGGCAGTCTGTCTTTGCCTCTGTTAGCGTGGAGCCCCTGTACCCGGTACCAACTGCTTCTGGCTTCCGCGAGTGTCCCTTACCAAGCAGAGCTTTGTAGACTTCCAGGGGGAAAAGAATTCAGGTTTCCGTGATGGCTGACTGAAGTCCTTCAGCAAAGGAACTGTAGGGCTGTATAACCCTGGCCAAGCTGTGGGCTGTATATCTCCCCGGCCAAACCGTAGAAGACGAAGCTTTCTACAGGAGTTCTTGGTATTATGTCCTGCATGAAAGGCTTCTCTGTGTGGACTGACCCAAAAAGGGCTCCTATTCCCTCCAAAAACCCCAAAAGGGGGCGGGACCAGGGAACCTAACTATAATTGACAGGTGGCTTGCCCTATGATTGCAGCCAAAAGAAGCCACCTATCTGCAGAGTCCCTGAAACTTAGGACTACAACAAACATTCAATACAAAGCAAACAAAATAGGAGCTCTTGGTACAGTTGTACCTGCACATGCATATTTGGTTTCCACAGCAATCTTGTGAGGCAGACTAAGTTTAGAAAAAACTCAGAAAATCAGAGAAGAGTTTAAATTCCCACGTCCAAAAGATCTACAGTAGCCCACTGGAATTTGGTTACAGGAGCCCCCGTGGATACCAAAATTCATAGATGCTCAAGGCCTGTTATATACAACAGCGTGCTGAAACAATGTTCCTTATATAAAATGGTAGAATCAATGTTTGCTTTTTTGCTTTTAAAAATAAGAATTCAAGTAATGGGAGGTTTAATCCATGGGCCCAGGATCTGTGGATACAGAGGGTCAGTTGTAATTGCTTCCTCATCAGGAGATTCACCATCATTTGCCAATATTTAATGGGAATGCAGACTGGGCACAAATCATTTTCTGGTCTGAGGTACGATGCCAGGTGTCATACCCAACCTCTTACCATGGTACTGGGAGCAAACCAAATCATCATAGCCCAAGAGGCAGCAAATCCTATAAGCCCATCTCCATGGGAGGAAAGAGACAATAACAGCCACAACATAAATAATTAACAATTTCCTACTGTTTCATGACACCCCAGGGCAGGCCCTGTCATTAGACACAGCTGCATCAAGCTGCTGATTTGGGGTCTGAAGGCAGTAAATTGGACTTTACTTACTTAATTAATGTATTAATGTTGTTGTGCTGTTGTTGCTGCTGCTTTGTTCTTAAGGCTAGAGTTTCTAGGAAACAGGACTAGATATAAATGGTCTTTGAAAAGGCACAGCAACAGTCCACTTACTTTCTGTGACTGAAATATTCCTACCTCCTTTGTTCAGGTCCAGGAGGAAGAAGATCAACAGGGCATCCAGACTCTGGGGCACCATTCCTACCTGCTGGAGTTTTGGCAGTAAAAAAAAGTAAGGATTTCTGAATTTTGGAAGAGACACTCAATTATCAGACGCAAAGTGAAGAGTGTGACAGATAATGGTAGGTGATGGCAAGCGTTCACTTTGTCACCTATCTCCACTAGATCCTACGGAAAATGTTGAACTGAAATATAAGAGGGGAAGGCCTAGCATTAAAAACCAAAGAAGATGGGAATTTCTATTCTTATAGTTCCCAAACTTGGAACTCCAAGGCCCCTTCCACACAGCTGTATAAAATCCATATGGAATTAGATTATATGGCAGTGTAGACTCAGATAACCCAGTTCAGAGCAGATATTGTGGATTATCTGCCTTGATATTCTGGGTTATATGGCTGTGTGGAAGGGCCCCAAGAGTTATGGCACTACCACCTTTCTAGCTATTTATTTATTTATTTATTATTATATTTTATTATTTTATTTCAGGTATTTGTACCCCACCCTTCTCAACCCGGGGGGGACGGGGGGACGGGACTCAGGGCAGCTTCCAGCCAGCAACAATTTGATGCCTCCAATGTATACATATTAAAATACATAATAAAATCCAATAATTACATACATTTAAAATATTAAATCACATTAATTAATTAAAATCTGTTCCTGTTTCAGTAATAGCCTGGTGGCCTTTTCTGAACCAAACTCTGTAGTTAGAGACTCCATCAAGCATGTCCATAGTCCATTTCCATAGAGATTGTCATCACTGCCACTGTCATTGTCAGCAAGATTACCCAAACGCCTGGTCCCACATCCACGTTTTTTACTTCTTTCTAAAGGAATGGAGGGACATCAATAATCTAATTTCACCGGGGAGTGAAATCCACAGGCGGGGGGGCCACAACCGAGAAGGCCCTGTCTCTCGTCCCTGACAAGCACGTTTGCGACAGAGGCAGAGCTGAGAGCAGGGCCTCCCCATGCTACCGGGGTTGCTGGGCAATGTATCTAAACACTTCTGGGGACCCAGGTTCCAAACCCTAACCCTAGTGCTTCTAGTACAGTGGTTCTCAGCCTGTGGGTTCCCAGATGTTTTTGCCTAAAACTCCCAGAAATCTCAGCGTTTACCAGCTGTTAGGATTTCTGGGAGCTGAAGATCAAAATATCTGGGGACCCACAGGTTGAAAGTAGAAAGACAATGTGTAGCTCTCACATCTTTTGTCCTTCTTAGAAGATAAAAGAAGGCCAGAAGCAGCAATGGAAAAGCATATAAGGGTTATATGAAGAAGGCCCTCCCCCATAACTTTCTGTCCACTTCCCATAATTTAGTATGAATGAGGCAAAGCAATTGCAATGTAATAGACATCTGGGAACACCCTGCCATTTTGATTCATCTAGTCCAGATGTAGGAAAAGTTCCAATTGTGGACTGCATATTGCAACCCAAAAGACTCCCAGGAAACCCTGAAGCCCCCACATAACATGCCCCAGTAGTTTTTTTTTGTTTTTTTTTTTTTTTTGGTACTGTTCCATTATCCAGGCAGAGGCCACTAGAGGGTGGTAGAGAAAGAAGGATAGTCCATTTTACAGGGGGAAGAGTTGAAGGAGGAAAAACATTTCCCCCATTTTTGCTGATTATTTCCCCTCCCCCCCTTCCCATTTCATAAACAAGAGCTGTTTCCATGATGGGGACATGGATGGGGGGAATAACAGGAAAACAGGGGAAATTGTTTTACTTCTTCAAGCCACCTTGTGCCCCCATAAAATGGACAATTCTTCTCTCTCCTGCACCCCCTAGTGGCCTCTGCCCAGATAATGGAATAGTACCGTTTTTTCCTCTAGTGATTTTGGGCCATAAACAAAATGAGTGACCCAATGGGATCTGCTTTCCCTACTACCAGTCCCTACCTACCCTCATCTCTACCAGCATTGTTTGCCCCATGCACTCTTGGCTCTTCTCTTCACCTGTCTCTCCCCCAACCCCACAAACCCTCCCCTCTCCCCTCCCATGTCTTCCTCTCCTTTCCAGTAGTTACATTCCCATTGGGTCTCCAGCAAACTGGTTGTACTCTTCTTACCGACTTTAAAGGCCAACCTATAGAGCTGGCACATATCCTAGACATTAATAGTAGCCAAACACAACAAGCCAGGGTGGTACCATCCACTCAACTCCCAACATCCATCCCAACCATCAGGATGGAGAAAATACAAAGTGTTCTTAAAGTCTTATACTAGACCATGTGAAGGAGTAGATTGTAATGCACAACTAATTGCTTTGGTGACCTTTTCAGTTACTGTTTGGCGATACCCTACCACTTCCATCCCATTAAGTATCAACAGCCTCTGTATGGAATTAAAATATACCTTAAAAATGAACTAGGTTACACAGAAAGGAAACTGCATGTCATCCTTTCCTATAAACCTACCTTGTTCTCTGGGGCAAATGTTGGTCAGACTCTTAACTGCCTTTCCAGAAGTGTGACTGTCGAGTCAGTGAGATGGCGGAGATTCCTTTTGTGGTTCCTCCTCCATATCTCTGCCTTGTAGGAGCTGCCCACTTCCATCTATCAAGGGAGTTCTTAAATGTTTCATGGTGGGTACAGCCCACCCATTTTCCATGGGGGAGTCTTGGATTGCATTAAGGCAAGGGATGTGGCTTCCACTCAATTACAGCTACATTCGAGTAGTAAGCAAATTCCAGAATGCTATTTCCTGTTAAGTTTGAACGTTTACATTACTCTGCCTCAAAGAAGGCAAATATAACTTTAAAGCGCCACCCCTCCCCTATGCACCATTTTTGGTTTAAATTTCTATGGAGGTTTTAAAAGAGTGGATTCCCAACCTGTGGTCCATGGACCACCAGTGGTCCGCAAATACGAAAATATGGTTCACGACCTCACCATTACTATATCACTGCCTCGAAACCACACGGCAATGAGAGCGACTGTTCTCTTGAAACCCAGTTTAACTGCTGAGGCAACAGGGATGTTGGGAGGGGAAAGATTACTACTACCACATTCTTTCCTGATGTTTCACCTGCATCAATGGCAGGCATCCTCAAAGCTTGCGAGGTCATAGAGCCCAGAAAACTCAGAACAATCTAGGTGAAGAAAGCTGGAAAGGAGACAATCAACTGATTTGAAGTGAGGTGTGGGAGGAGAGTTCTATAGATACCATGGACTGCTAAAAAGACAAATTAATGGGTCATACAGCAAATCAAGCCTGAATTGTCAATGAAAGCCAAGACAGCTAAGCTGTATCTGTCATACTTTGGACACAGGTAAAGGTAAATGTTTTCCCCTGACATTAAGTCCAGTGTGGGTTGGTGCTCATCTCCATTTCTAAGCCGAAGAGCCAGTGTTGTCTGTAGACACCTCCAAAGTCATGTGGCTGGCATGACTGCATGGAGCGCCCTTACTTTCCTGCTGGAGCAGTACCTATTGATCTACTCACATTTGCATGTTTTCACATTGCTAGGTTGGCAGAAGATGGGGCTAACAGCAGGAGTGCATGCCGCTTCCCGGATTCGAACCTGAAACGTTTCAGTCAGCAAGTTCAGTAGCTCAGTGCTTTAACCCACTGTGCCACTGGGACATATCATGAGACAACATGACTCACTGAAAAAGATTATAATGCTTTAGGGGCTATAGGAAAAGACCATATAATAGCACTGTTACAATAGAATAGATTTAGGTTTGGACATTATTAAGTCCAGTCGTGTCCGACTCTGGGGGGTTGGTGCTCATCTCCATTTCTAAGCTGAAGAGCCGGCATTGTCCACAGACATCTCCAAGGTAATGTGGCCAGTATGACTTCATGGAGCGCTGTTAGGCCTCCAGTGGTACAGTGGGTTAAAGCGCTGAGCTGCTGAACTTGCCGACTGAAAGGTTGCAGGTTCAACTCCAAGGAATACTGTGTCCAATTCTGGGCACCACAATTGAAGAGAGATATTGACAAGCTGGAATGTGTCCAGAGGAGGGCAACAAAAATGATCAAGGGTCTGGAGAACAAGCCCTATGATGAGCGGCTTAAGGAGCTGGGCATGTTTAGCCTGAAGAAGAGAAGGCTGAGAGGAGATATGATAGCCATGTATAGATATGCGAGAGGAAGTCACAGGGAGGAGGGAGCAAGCTTGTTTTCTGCTTCCCTGGAGACTAGGACGCGAAACAATGGCTTCAAACTACAAGAAAGGAGATTCCATCTGAACATGAGGAAGAACTTCCTGACTGTGAGAGCTGTTCAGCAGTGGAACTCTCTGCCCCGGAGTGTGGTGGAGGCTCCTTCTTTGGAAGCTTTTAAACAGAGGCTGGATGGCCATCTGTCAGGGGTGTTGAATGCAATATTCCTGCTTCTTGGCAGGGGGTTGGACTGGATGTCCCATGAGGTCTCTTCCAACTCTATGATTCTATGATTCTATGAGTGGCGTGAGTTCCCAATGTTAGCCCCAGCTTCTGCCAACCTAACAGTTCGAAAACATGCAAATAAGAGTAGATCAATAGGTACCGCTCTGGCAGGAAGGTAACATCATAGATTTAGGCAAGTAAAATGTGGTCCTAACTTTGCTGAGCTGGGCAGCCAATGACCAGGCCTCTTGGACATTTCACATTCATGGGATCTCCACAAATCACAGTTGATCTTATGGAAAGCAGCAATAACAACAGACCCAGATCCTGCATTGCTCAAAATAGTACTTTGGCTGCAGGAATACCTTTAACTGTGAATGAGAGCAGAACTAAAGGAAAAGTCACACTTTGGTGTATTAATTAACACCTAGTTAGGCACATCCATATACTCTCCCAGCCAGGCACGTTCTTGGCGGTAGAGGGCAGCAGCAGCACAGTTACTAAGGCTTCAAGAGGATGCTTGGCACCTAACCCACCGCAGGGAGGAAACGCATCTCTCTTTAAGAGAAAAGCGAGTTCTGTAAATGTTCTCAAAGTCAAAAGGACAGAGAAAGGCAGGGATATCCATCATAGGTACAAACACTAAAGGTATCCATTCAACATTTAGGAGGATAGGCTGATTGCTACAATCTGCCATGCCAGAGAGTTGCCCCCAAAATGTGATCACTT